GGTGCGATGGGGTTGCCAGGGGCGAAGGTGGGTTCTCTTACTTTCCGTCCCCGGCGAGTGCAATGATGCGCGTCGCCAAGGCTGTCGAAGGGTCTTTTCGATCCTTAGGGAAGATAATAATGACATGTGAGGAGAAGGAGGGACCGTCTGACATTGCACCGTCGACGATGCCGTTTCTCGAGACGTAGAAGAGACGTCGACGTGCGCATCCCAACCCAGATGCATGTGGTCCGCAGTGGGGTGTCTGAACCACGGAAGATCGACGCGCCTACTGCACAACCAGCGGGTCGACGCGGGTGTAGTACAAGCCTGCGCGCCGCGGATAAATGTCGCCTGCTCCCCACGAACATCTTCACTGCCGCGGAAGGACCACCACCGACGCCATTGTTGCCATCTCGTTAGACGTGGAGGATCTCCGCTGGATTCCTCGTCCTTCTGTCGCACACGTGGACGTCTGCCGCCAATCATTCCGCCGCGGAACATTCTCGCCGTCAATCTTTTTGCCGCGGAGCGCTGTCGCCGGGGTCGTCTTCCTTCTGCCGCACAAGTGTGCGTCTTCGTCTTCTTCCCGCGGAGGAGAGATCTTCTGCATCGTTGGGGTATTCGTCGTCGTCACTCCAAACCAGAATGGAATATATTTTTCTCGCGGGATCGACGAAAGTTCATACGACGGTCGACGAAGCACGAAAAGGTCATCCGATCGGACCGCCAAGCTCGCCTGCAGACGCGCTCTTCGGATCATGTCCACGCGAGGGAGCACCCTTGGTAAGAAGCGCGACGGTGTCCCTGACGACAGCCAAGGGCAGGGAAGAGGTCGGCGACATGTCCCGAAAGTGAAGAGGGCGCGTTTGGATGATGCGTCACCAAGCTTGCCTCCTCGTTCAGCGCAAGGTTGGGTGGCAACATCGGAAGGCGACTACGACGACGACTTCACGACGGAGGAAGAGCACACAGAGGCGACCTCGTCTGGAGTACGGGAGGGCGCACGACAGTGCTCTTCGGAGCAGAGTGCTTCGAAGAGGTTGATGACCCCTCCACCCGAGGTGCATCAACCACGTGCCCGCGATACCCGGACAGAGAAGGCTGCCGTCGTCGATGTGGACGGCGACGATGACGAGACCTTGCACAAACGACGCCTGCGCACTCCAACACAAGGCACCCCAGCGCTGGCGGCGACGGCGCGTGCTGCGGTAGACGAAAGGCGAAACACGGGTGGACTGCCCGCCACGCCGTCCCAACCACGTCAGCGCAATCCGGGTGATGACGGAGGGTCCGTCCAGTGTGGCGGCGGGGGGGAAGTCGTGGCAGAAGCTCGCGCAATTGGCGGCGAGGCGGGAGGTGTTGCGGGTGCGGGTGCTTTGGTCACTGTGGCCCCCGTTGCGGCGGCGAGAGAGGAGGCGCCAGTTGTTGCGACGGCGAGAGAAGAGGCGCGTGGCGAAAGCAAAACTGATCGGGACGGCGGCGATCCCGGTTCAAGCCGGGTACGTAGGGGAGTGATGACGAAAGACCTCGTCGATCGTGCCGTGCTTTGGGTTGATGACAAAGCTTTCTGGACGACAGGGGAGGGGCGAAGACTATACAACATCGTCCACGGAACGAGAGAGTACTTTATTGCCATCGCCAGCGGCCTTCCAGCGCCTGTCGTCCCTTGGAGCGTCGTCCTTCCCAAATCGAGCACGAAGTTAGCCAGGATCACCGACCCATCACAGCTGCCGCAAGCGATCTCCCGTGCGGCTGCAGTGGAGAACATTGCTTTGCGCATCTTGCACGACTGGATTTTCAAGTCCGGGAACCGCCCAAGAGGATACATTGTGGCTTTCCAGTACTCGCTCCAGTCCGTGGCGACGGACATTGCGCGTGCAATGTGGTGCGGCGATGAGCGGTGCAACGTCGTCAGTGCGGCGGTATGTGCGCACACGATAGATCTATCTATGCCACTCTCCATGGACTTGCCACTATGGTTCGCCGGCGCCAACATCGAGGACAGACCTGAGGACGACGACATGGCGGCGTACCAGGAGTCTACCGCCATCTGCGTGTCGCATGCATTCCGCGCGGCAGTGCAAATGGGTGCGCACATCGATGGCGACTTCATCTCGTACGATCGTCTCTATCGGGTGGCTGACTGCTTCAGGCTTTTGTTGGCGACGTGCATGTGGATAATGCGCATGGCAGGAGACGTTCCGCGCAGCCACTACGAAACTTTTTATCAGCGCAGTTCGCTGCGCAAGAACTTTAGAGCGCTTTTAACGCATTATTTTTGTCTTGTGTCCGCTGTTCTCGTCTCGTTGTTGGAATGATTCATAGATAATCTCCTCATATGCATGCACACAATCCATATTTGCCTCTCTTTTTTTTGTATTTTTCTTCGTTAACTTACATTATGCGGGTGTGATGAATGATTTCAACAGCCATGTTTGACGTCCCACCATGAAACCATTCATTCCAAACGAAATGGAGAGATACACAAAATTCAGGTTATACCACACGAAACCATTCATAACAAACGAATTGGAGAGAGACACAAAAAAGAAAGAATAAAAAACATTGTACAGATTAAAAAAAAACAACAACAACAACAACAACGAATCTTCCCACCACATGAAACCATTTATGGCAAAACGATTTGAACACACACACACAAAAAGTTATACAAAAAAACGCAAAACAAACAACCTGGGAGATGCAAAAAAAAAAAAAGGTTATTCCAATATTAAACATTTGCACTACTGTGCGAACCACACAACCGTCCAAATCGATGAAAAAAAAAAAAAGAATTCATCGACGACAACCATGTCGCCATTCAATCGTGGATGCAACTTCGCGCACTACGACCATGGACAGGGACCACGTGACAATTCCACCTGCCTACCGATCGCACCAACCCACGTCCGTCTTGTGGGTGCGCAAGAACAGACGCCACATGCACTTCAGTCACCTGAATGCCCTCTCCACACATCCCCGCGCCACCTTTTGCCGCGTGTCGAAGCGCTCCTTGTCAGGACCTTGGTCGATTCCTCCGTACGGCTGCACGATCCATGGACAGGCAACTGGATAACCGTTGTCGCCCAGCAGGTAACCTCGCGTGACGACACCGTGCGGCAGATTCTCCGGAGGCGCGTCGAACAGCTCGCCAGTTTCTGCACGCCTCCACAACTGCGAATTGTGCAAGACACGGACGTCGTGCACACTTCCCGGGTATCCGACGTGGACGTCGAGGATCCGCAGATCGAAATCCACCACCACTTGCACCTGCACGGAAAACTTCTGTTTTCGGTCGTAGTAGTTGGCCGACGGTGCGCCGGCGGGCTTGTCAATGTAGATGTGTGTACAGTCGATTGCGCCGATTCGGAAGCAGTTCGGGAAACCCTTCTCACGGAAAGCGCGCAGAATCTGCGCACGTTTGCGGCCCACTGGCCATTTTTTGCGTCCGGGTATGCCTGCAACAGCGCCGAAGTGACGTCGCGGACGGTCTGCAGTCCAGTTGCCCTGCCGATGCCGAAGGCTGACGTGTCGCTCTTGTACGTCTCTCCGGACGCCCACCTGTACAACGAGAAAGCGATCACCTGCTCCACTGGGAATGGCATCATGTAGTGCGTGACCTTCTTCTCCATGTACGAGGCACACACGGCCACGATCCGGTTGAACATGGCCATCAACATGCGCAACTTCTATTAGTAGTACTCGTCCGTCGCGTCATCACACAGGCGGAGGTCCTCCCATGTTCCACCAGTCCGTCGTCTAATCCACCAATAAGGGGTCTGCCGCGGGAAAACGCCAGACGACATCGCGGCACACAACTGGACGACTGCCTCACACGTGGCCACGCAATCCAGCGCTTCAGCAACGCTCTGCAACAACGCTCGTCGTTTGCGGAGCTGATCCCCGCGTCGACGAGGATGTTGTGGAGAATGCAGACGACCACGAATTGTTGTGGCAAGGTCTCCAGGTTCGTCTTGTGGGTGTGCAAGAACAGACGCCACATGCACTTCAGTCGCCTGAATGCCCTCTCCACACATCCCCGTGCCACCTTCTGCCCCGTGTCGAAGCGCTCCTCGTCTGGACCTTGGTCGATTCCTCCGTACGGCTGCACGATCCATGGACAGGCAACTGGATAACCGTTGTCGCCCAGCAGGAAACCTCGCGTGACGACACCGTGCGGCAAATTCTCCGGAGGCGCGTCGAACAGCTCGCCCGTTTCTGCATGCCTCCACAACTGCGAATCGTGCAAGACACGGACATCGTGCACACTTTCTGGGTATCCGACGTGGACGTCGAGGATCCACAGATTGAAATCCACCACCACCTGCGCCTGCACGGAGAACTTCTATTTTTGGTTGTAGTAGTTGGCCGACGGTGCGCCGGCGGGCTTGTCAATGTAGATGCCACGGTCGTAGTAGTTGGCCGACTTGTCAATGTAGATGCCACGGTCGTAGTAGTTGGCCGACGGTGCGCCGACGGGCAGTGTGTGTACAACCGATTGCGCCGAAGCAGTTCAGGAAACCCTTCTCACGGAAAGCGTGCAGAATCTGCGCACGTCTACGGCCCACTGGCCACTCTATCGCGTCCGGGTACGCCTGCAGCAGCGCCGAATTGACGTCGCGGACGGCCTGCAGTCCAGTTGCCCTGCCGATGTCGAAGGCTGACGTGCCGCTCTCATACGTCTCTCCGGACGCCCACCTGTACAACGCGAAAGCAATCACCTGCTCCACTGGCAATGACATCCTGTAGTGCGTGACCTTCTTCTCCACGTATGAGGCGCACGGGGCTACGATCTGGTTGAACATGGCCATCGACATGCGCAACTTCTGCCGGTACTACTCGTCCGTCGCGTCATCACACAGGCGGAGGTCCTCCCATGTTCCACCAGTCCGCCGTCTAATCCACCAACGCGGGGTCTGCCGCGGAAAAACGCCAGACGACACCACGGCACACAGCGGGACGACTGGCTCACACGTGGCCACGCAATCCGGCGCTTCGGCAACGCTCTGCAACAACGCTCGTCGTTTGCGGAGCTGCATCACCCTACGTGGCACCCTCGGCCGCGGCCGCAGGATCAGAGTCCGCGGCCAGGATCCAAGGCCATAGGCCCGCGGCCGAGGCCGCGCGGCCGAGTCAACGCCCAGGTGGGCGCGCGCCCTCGCAATCCGAGCGACCGCGCGGCCTGCGCACGTTGGCCGCTGTCGGCGTGTCAAAAAAAAAAAAAAAAATCAAAAATTTGGAGGGGCCGTTTTTATATGTGAAAAAAAAATTAAAAAAAAATAGATTTTTTTTTTTGATCAATCAATCAATTAGCCAAACCAATCAAGATCTTGATTGGTTTGATTGATTGATTGATTCAATTTGATTGATTGATTGATTGATTGATTGATTGATTGATTGTGTGTGTGTGTGTGTGTGTGTGTGTGTGTGTGTGTGTGTGTGTGTGTGTGTAAAGGAAGATCGATCTTTTTTGCTCCTCCTTTCGATGGAAGTTGCGTGAAGCCGCGGCCTTGGAGACTTACCTGTTGCCCGCCACGTCGCGCAACGAATCCATCGAAGTACTCTCTCTCTCTCTCTCTTCTCTCTCTCTCTCTCTCTCTCTCTCTCTCCCTCTCTCTCTCTCTCTCTCTCTCTCTCTCCCCCCCTCTCCTCAGTCCCTTCGTCTTCCTCCTCTGCGGCTATGGCCGCTATCACCCCCTTCGTCAGACTGCGCAACCTCTCTCTCTCTCTTTGCGATGGAGTCTTCAGCGCAGGTACGTATCAACCAATCTTGTATCACTCAGTTCTCTCTCTCTCTCTCTCTCTCTCTCTCTCTCTCTCTCTCTCTCTCAGTCCCTTCGTCTTCCTCCTCTGCGGCTATGGCCGCTATCACCCCCTTCGTCAGACTGTGCAACCAATCTTGTGTCGCTCGACACGCTCTCTCTCTCTTCGCGATGGAGTCTTCAGCGCAGGTACGTATCAACCAATCTTGTATCGCTCAGTTCTCTCTCTCTCTCTCTCTCTCTCTCTCTCTCTCTCTCTCTCTCTCTCTCTCTCTCTC